TCGGGAGGTCAGGGCAGAGAAGAATTTTAATCCTAGAGTCTCACAGCTCAAGCATTACGATATATCCAACTTGGAGACTTTAGATAATTCTTCTTCGTTTAACGTTTATTCTCATTCTTCTTCACTTCAACACCAGCAAAATTCGACTCATTAATAAATGAAGAGATCTCGATAAAGAGGATTCTTTTAATGAATTCGTCTAATAAAGTATTAAATTCATGAAATAATTGTTTCACGTACTTAATTTTACAAGAAGCACGTAGTAATGAGAAATCATTCTCGTCTTCAGGACTCTGGAACACCTGGTGCGAGAGAAATGGAATAATTAGTATGAACCTTATCTCAGATCTGCGCGATGATCGCTAAAGGACAATAACGTGCTATGATCGTTCGTCGATTGAAATTGATTCTCCCGTGGTCGAGAAGAACGATAGTCGCGCTATTTTCAATCGGTGCCGATTACCATACAATTCTGAACTTCGTAAAAAGGTAGCCGAGAGACGATTGAAGAACGTTCCTACCGAACGGAACAATTAGATGATCTTTCCTTATTATTAAGTGGCGCGAGGAATGTTGTTCCAGCTTTGCTGTACGAAACTGTATAATAAGCTGAATACAGTGGCATTAATAAACGATGAGCTGACATTTATCGTATTATTCCAATGCGTTGAGAGAAATTTGTCTGAAATATCACACAATATTTTAAAGTCATCTTGATATGGTAGTAAAACTCCGATTATTTAAGTATAGTAGAATAGTATCAAAAACAATTAACATTATTACTAACTTCAGTTTTTTTTTTATTACACATTATTAAAATTCCTAAATCTAGAGAAATTTCTTTTTTTAATTTTTCTACATCTGGATGAAGTTGTCTTGGCATAATCAATTTGTGAATATTTATATTTTCATAGACACAAGTGAATTTTACTCACAGTCTGATAATAATTTAAAGCAACTATAAATGACTATTGATGTTATCATCTATGCTCTATATAAAGATAATGAAAGTGTCTCAACTTTTTAACTAGAGCAATTTTGTACAGTGGAAACAAGCTTCAGGAGAGAACAATAATTCTTTCCTAAGAATCTGACATCACCATTTCAATGTATCAGCAGATATTCTGTAACTTCCTTTAAAGAAGCATTCTAAAATTAGTAGAGTCAAGAATAATCTCTCTTCGTTACGCAAGCAAGCGTAAACGTTCATCATCTTCTGCAACAACAGGTGTTAGAAGATCTCGTGAAGTGGCCAATATTTTGCAATCACTTTCTCCTTTTTCTGATGATTGAAAGTGTGCCAAGGGTTCTTCTTCTCCCTCAACCCCCGACGATTTGAACATCAACTCACATTAGGGACACCTGTCATTATTTAAAATTACACAGCAGCAACAACATGCGATTGCAGAACTATATCCTAATACCTGGTAGATAAAAAGCTTCTTCGGATCATCCCGATCCACGCCTATTAGACGGTTCAGTAACTTCGTTTCTAAAATTGTTTCATACAAGAATTACCATTTACGCAACCGTGCGCCCGGACAGTTGAAACGCACTTAATGACCCGGAACGTACACTGTTTAAAAGTTGTGCAATTATAAATGGAGATGGCACCGAGGAAAATTAATTGGCTGACTTTCTACGGTTTTGTGCCGTGCTCCCGAGTCTTAATGATGTTGTGACGTTTAATTGATTTCACGGGGAATATGTTTGCCTTTTGGACCGCTCTGAGTAACATGATAAATCATTTCGTGGACACGTTACGCACCATCTGTTGAAATATTCAATTTTCTTTCAGACTTTTTTCATACTTTGGCTTTGTATACCTTACTATTGTACCGATTTTCTGCTGTTTGTTACAATCTGCATATATTATATGTATTAAACATTGCACGTAATTATGAATTTATATACATACAACCAAATGTAAATACTAGACGTAATAGTATATAATATTTCAAGTATCTGTATATACTATATGTGTATTATAATAATTTAGTAAAATGATACAAGATAGTATAAAATGTCTCCATACATAAGTATAAGATCTCTCTAGAAGTATAATAATAAACTATTGAAGTAGAGAAACAAAGTAGAATGAAGTAGAGCAATATAAGATTTCTCTATATGCAACGTTATAAGATTACAAGTATATAATATTTCAATATGTATATCTATATATACTATATGTGTATAATAATCTAATAAAATGATACAAGATAGTATAAAATGTCTCCATACGTAAGTATAAGATCTCTCTAGAAGTATAATAATAAATAATAAACTATTGAAGTAGAGAAACAAAGTAGAATGAAGTAGAGCAATATAAGATTTCTCTACATGCAACGTTATAAGATTACAAGTATATACTAGTCCAAAAACTATAAAATAAGATGTCTATGTACTATGTACAGTAGTAAGATTTCAAGTATATAGTACACAGTTCGAACAATATAAAATAATATTATAACAGCATAAAGATAGTGCAATATTTACGTACAATGTAATAACACAATCAGATTGGTAAAGGCATCAATCGGTACTACAAAATCAATAGTACTACCGGTCATCGGCTCTCGCAGAAAATTTGCCAATATCTGCATCGACTACCGAAGTACCAAGGAGACGATTAATCGGGAGGCTATCGATCGTGGTTTCTTCTCTCTCGGCGCGCAACGGTTTTCGTAATCATGACAGGCGCTGTACCAACGGACTCGTATCATTAACAAGGATCTATCGTTGAATCGGCCTGAAGAGCGAGAGCTGAAACGAAATGGCATAATTTACTGGCCAACAATGAGATTATAACCGGTACACCGTGACGGATGTGCCGCGTATGAAAGCCGAATGAAAAATATCAAATTGTTCCCATCGCTTTGTAAACGGATGAAAAAGGGCCTCGAAAACAAAGAACGCCGACAAGACATCCGGCGAATTTTCGATGAGATATACGCCACTAATATACCGATACCGTCAGTGATGAGTGAAACTGTTGGAAAATTATGGCACGTTCTCACGAAAGCTGCCCTCTTTTAACTACGCTGTTCTCCTCCTGGGCTTCTTCTTCGTGTGCTTCTATCCCTTTAGATTTATCTCTATTTTTTTGGTTCTTTTGCAATACTGGAATATATAAAGATTAGTAA